CTGAGTCCCTTCCTCTTGTCCTCCTGTGGCGACGATGGCATCATTTGCATTTGGGACGTTCGCTCAAAGACGGCGGCAATCAAACTGAACTCTAAGCGGCGTGCCACCCACTACCTGGGCGTCCAGTGGCATCCCAACTGCGAGTACATACTGTCCTCCTCCAGTTCGGACTCTTCGCTTCGCATCTGGGACCTGCGATACGAGAAGATCATTCAGTGCTATCAAGTCCATGAAGGCGTTGTGTCTTCCTCTGATTTCCATTCCTCCGGCAACTACCTGATCAGCTCCTCTTTGGACCAAACTTGCAAAATTCTCGATCTGTTTGAGGGCCGAACGCTGTTCACCTTGCGAGCCCACGTTGGCCACGTGAACTGTGCCCAGTTTTCGCCCAATGGTGAACACTTTGCCACTGCAGGCCAGGACCGAGCTGTCCTCTACTGGAAGAGCAACATTGCCGGCATTGACGAACTGGCCTCAGAGCTGGAGGATGACGACATGCGAAGTATTTGCTCATTTGCTGACACGCCTCAAATTAATACTTTCAATGCTGACAAAATCAACAAGTCAACTCGCAGCTCGATGATGAACGGCTGTGGAAGTGGTAAAATTTCCAGCAACGGTGGTGGTCACTTTGGTCAGGTGAAGCAGGAGCATGCCATCACCGAGGAGAGCGACGCTGTGGAGGTTAAGTGTGAGACATCCTCTCCGACGCCTCCTTCATCGGGAAAATCAACTCCTGTCAACGGCAATGGGGTAAATACCGTCGCCTCCGGTTTGGACTTTTCTTGCGTTGACATTCTGAAGAGTATTCTCCAGCAGCTCGAGGTCATCACCGACAGCATTGTCAACATTGACCAGCGTCTCAGCACTCTGGAGGAGACGATGGAGAAGCCTTCAGGCTAGCAGAGCTTCATTCTCTCTCCACCAGCACTTACCAAACTTGTGCACTCCAAAGACGGTGGTGGTGAACTCCCCAATTATTATCATTATTTTGTACACAATTTTGTAATTTAAAAGCNCGTCAACGGCAATGGGGTGAATGGCACCGGCGGTGCCGGTTTGGACTTTTCCTGCGTTGACATTCTGAAGAGCATTCTCCAGCAACTCGAGGTCATCACCGACAGCATTGTCAACATTGACCAGCGTCTCAGCACTCTAGAGGAGACCATGGAGAAGCCTTCAGGTTAGCAGAGCTTCATTCTCTCTCCACCAGCACTTGCCAAACTTGTGCACTCCAAAGACGGTGGTGGTGAACTCCCCAATTATTATCATTATTTTGTACACAATTTTGTAATTTAAAAGCTATTAATTCTGTTATTTTTTCTTCCCTAAGTTCTTTATTTTTCCCTACGTAACAATAAAGTTTTGCCGTACAACTCTGATCAGCCTACTTCGGAGGATGCTCTTGAACTTGTAGTACCACTTGAGCAGTCGTACTCGTCGCCTCACCTTCTCTTCGGCGCTCATTTCACCCTCAGATCGGAGAATCAATGGCAGCTCTTGAGTCCAATTGCTGACGTAAATGAAGGGCGCATTGAGCTGGTGAAAAAGTCGCAGTGGACTACTCTCACCGCTATCACAGGATGAGGCCACCTGTTGTGGGCTGATCTCGACCACCGGCACCGAGCCGTACTCGACTGCCTCGAGAATGCGGTAGCACTCGTGGTTCAGACCGATGGGACTCAACGTCAGATCGGACTGTCTGAGGGCCTTCACGTAGAAGGACAGCGAGTGNAGTCGCAGTGGACTGCTCTCACCGCTATCACAGGATGAGGCCACCTGTTGTGGACTGATCTCGACCACCGGCACCGAGCCGTACTCGACTGCCTCAAGAATGCGGTAGCACTCGTGGTTCAGACCGACGGGACTCAACGTCAGATCGGACTGTCTGAGGGCCTTCACGTAGAAGGACAGCGAGTGCTCACTCTCCTGAGGCTGCCACTGATCGCGGACTTTCACCAGACACTGACTGCTCAGCTCAGGTCGGCCCTCAAAGAAGCTCTTCAGCTCCTGTCGGGATGAGTTCGGGTAGACGGTGGCGATGAAGTTGCACAGGTAGGGCCGGGTGGATTGCACGGTGGCGGAGGACAGGTCGCCGGGCGGAAAGTTGCGGTAGGTGGCAGTGCCCAGTGGCCTACAAAGAAAAGAAAGAAAGGTTAGTACGGAAATGGAAACGTAAACGCTGTTTTGTTTGTACGAACCACTGGTAGATGATGCGGTCGTCCACCTGGTTCCAGTCGTAGACGACAAAGAGAAAGCGAATCTTGCTGCCCACCTCATTCAGGTACGGCAGGAACCAGTCATTGGCGCACCGTTCACTGCCCAGGGCGATGATGCCGGCGTTGGCGATCTGCTCGTTCCGCCGCACCGCCTCCAGCCAGGGCAGGCTGTAGTTGATCTTGTGCTGATTGCGCCAGTTCAGCACCAGAATCAAATTGGGCACCGAGGAGGCGAGCAGGGTGGCCACCTTGAGGGAGGCGCCGCTGCGGAAGATCAGTCGGACGTTCTCAATGGTCGTCGATCCCTCGATGTAGTGCATTCCAGTTGCTTCCACTGTGCCCTGTTCGTCGATGGGCCCTCTCAGCACACTCTCCCAGACGTACTGGCCAATGGCCGCCTTACTCCACATCTCCACTGTCATCATCCAGTGCTCGGTGCTGGTCACTGGCTTTCCTCTGCCGCTCTGATTTGCCTTCGCCACTACAGCACTGTCTTTATCAATGGTCATGACCAGCTCAGGCTCCTTGACCACCAGTCCCCGTGGAAAGTCAAAGAGCATCACCACCAGGCCGATTATCAGCACAACCACAGTAATGATCTTCAGCATCCGACTCATCACACTGCTTGAGTGAGATGATTGATCACTGCCGTTGTGGTCAGCACTGGCATCAGCTCGTGCAGTTGTTGTTACTGTTGCGCACCACCAGCAAATTATCTCATCCTGTCATTGAGGGGGAGAAATGGAAAGAATGCATTAGCTATGGCTGTTTGGTCTTCGCGGCTGTTTGTCGCCAGCAGCTTGTGCGCGGCACACACAGCGGAGATGTCGCTCACCAGATTGTGGTGTACATGACAAAAAACTGCCTTCTTCACAACATGCAGCAAACAAAAGAGAGAGAGAGAGAGAGAGGGCACGGCAAATTAAATTAGGTTCAGCAGATCGCAGAGTTGCCTAATCGATCGCCCAACGTCAGGCTATTCATCAAAAATTCCTCCTTCTTCTCTTCTCCTTCGTCTTCCACTTTTTCTCCGACTTCTTATTCGGAAGTGCCTTTGCGTGCCAGAACAGTCGAGGTGCATGTCAAGTGAGGAGGAAGAAGTGGCGACAGTGGTTGTTGTTGCTGTTGCAGCTGTTGTCACCGTTGACAACTGCCACTCCAACTCCAACTGGCAGAACGACGACGACGACAACAAGAACAGCTCGACAAGGTCGAGAGGTGCTCAACCAGGTAGACGAGTGATCAAGTGATCGGTGTAGTTCAGGTAACTGGGCGCCACTTTCATCAACTGATCAACTGCCAAACAGCAGCGCAGAAAATCCAAAATTGGTGTCTATTTTTCTTGCCGCCGCCGCCACTACCGCTTCTGAGCATGCGTTCGCTCTGTTGAGTCAGTTGGTGCTCCTCCTGTCGCTCTCGCCGCCGCCGCCGCCGCCGCTGCTCTACTCTGTGGAGTTGTGTTTCTCGGCGGTGGTGTATTTCGGCACTGCTTCTGGTCACGGCACCAGCTCCACTTTCCTGGCTCCTGTCGCCCAGCCCTGCGCCCATCTCCGTCTCCCTTCCCTTCCCTTCCCTGCTACTGCTTCTCCTACTGCTACTACTGCTGCTGCTGCTGTCCTGCTCTAGCTCCAACACACCACCAAAGCACCAACACTCCAACACTACTGACAGAGAGACCAGTGTGGAGACCAGACCAAGAAGGGCCCTGCCACTGGTGCACGCGCGCGGTCACACTGCGCTCTCCCACACTAGCGACAGTGTTTCGCCCCAGTGTTCAGCTTTCACCACTATCACCACCACCACCTTCTAGTCGCTAATTTATATCGCCCAGCAATAAGTAAACCGTCATCAACATTATCAACATCAACATCACCACCACCACCATCGTCGAAATGTCAAACCCCGTCTCCACAAAGTCTATGAAGGTGATGACGAAGCGCTTCAAGCCGAAGCACCAGAAAGCGAAGCTGTTCCGCGCCTCTGAGCCGCTGCTCTCAGTCTTCATGTGGGGCATCAACTACACCATCAATGAGCTCACCCACGTCAACGCCCCGACACTGCTGATGCCGGACGACTTCAAAGCCCACACGAAGGTGAAGGTGGACAACCACGGCTTCAACAAGGAGAACATGCCCTCCCACTTCAAGGTGAAGGAGTACTGTCCGCTGGTGTTTCAGAATCTGCGCGAGCGATTCCACATCGACGACATGGACTTCATGAACTCGCTGACCAAGCACCAGCCGCGAGTGAACGTGTCGTCCGGCCGCTCCGGCACCAAGTTCTACGAGTCGTACGATCAGCTCTTTCTGCTCAAGATTCTCACCAGTGACGAGGTGGAGACGATGCACCACCTTCTGAAGGAGTACCACCCTTACATTGTGGAGCGTCACGGAAAGACGCTGCTGCCGCAGTACCTCGGCATGTACCGCATCACCGTCGACGGCGCGGAGACCTACATTTGCGTCATGCGAAACATCTGCTCCTCGTCGCTGAATGTGCACTGTAAATATGATCTCAAGGGCTCCACGGTGGACCGCGAGGCCACCGAAAAGGAGAAGGGACTGGACGTTCCCGTGTACAAAGACAACGACTTCACGCAGGCCGGAGTGCGCATCTTCGCCGACGAGGACTGGAAGAAGAGGTTCCTCGAGATGCTCAACGCCGACACCACCTTTCTCGCCCACAAGAACATCATGGACTACTCACTCTGCGTGGCCATTCACGACTGCGAGAAGGCCGAACAGGAGGCCTTGCAGGAGCGTGAAAAGCGACTGCTCTCTCAGGGCTCCGCCGAGGACGAGGAGGCCGAGTCATCTGGCGACGGAAACGAGCCACTCAACTCATTACCATCACCTCCCGACTCACCCGAAAGGCGACAGAAGCTGTCCGAATCGGAGAACCACCTATACTCATCGGAGAATGCAATTGACCCCAGTCGAGACATCTATGCGGTCATCTCAACAAAAGGTACAGGAGAGATCAAAGATCTTGTGACTTTTTAAACTTATCTCTTCTCTCTTTTTGTTTAATGTTAGAATNCAGAGATCAAAGATTTTGTGACTTTTTAAACTTATCTCTTATCTCTTTTTATTTAATGTTAGAATGTCCGCGAAGAGAAATATACTTCATTGGCATCGTGGACATTCTCACGCAGTTTGGACTTCGCAAGAGAACGGCTCTCGCGGCAAAGACCGTCAAGCACGGGCCAACGGCGGAAATATCGACGGTGCATCCCGAACAATACGCCAAACGATTCGTCGAATTTATTACCAAAGCTTTCTAACAGATAGGATAATCTTGTCAACGTTTCATTATTACCGGTGCGCACTCCCTAGAGGACTAACGGGGCCTGCACCAAACAATTCACACACACCGCTCAGGTGGCACCAACACCATTTACGATAAACAAATCGATCAACATAACCTCACCTCTTTACCTTCTCCTTTTCCTTTGCTTCCAACGAGTATTCCTTCCACTCCTTACTTACACGATTTCGTACCTTCAGTTTTTCGTATCTTCAGCACACCCCCTGAAGCGCAATGATTCAACAATCCATCTCTCCCATTTCTAAGTTTGTAACGAAATATCTAAGATTTATCCTTTGTTTTCTCCTTTTTATTTGGCCGTCAACCCGGCCAATCTCCCTCCACACACCTCTTTTTCTTTTTCCTTTATTTCCCATCTTCTTTTACTGCGCTGTTCTTCTTCTTTTTTCAGTGTGCAGTTGTCTTTGTTTGTGTTGTGTTTTTCCAATTTATTTGCTCCCTTTGTTTGCTTTCAGNATTATTTGGCTGTCAACCCGGCCAATCTCCCTCCACACACCTCTTTTTCTTTTTCCTTTATTTCCCATCTTCTTTTACTGCGCTGTTCTTCTTTTTTCAGTGTGCAGTTGTCTTTGTTTGTGTTGTGTTTTTCCAATTTATTTGCTCCCTTTGTTTGCTTTCAGTTTTTACCACCTTTCAGTTCATTTCCCACAAACTCTCTTTACCAACTCAACGACAAATGTCATGTGAACCCTTTGTAACACCACACACACGTTTACCCTACAATATTCCTCCTCCATGTACACTTTTCATATGGTGCGCATTAGAAGAATTCTCCTCGAGAAATGAAAAATGGCGGAACATTTTTGTAGCGTTACATTTTAAAGTAATAAAACAAAGCTTGACTACTCACAGTTTGTTAACTTTACTCTGATATACAAAGGGCTAAACTAGAAGGGCGAATAGTTTGGGCTGATTCAATGACTACTTTTTCTTAATCTTTTCTGGAACGACGATCGGAGAGTGAACATCGCGAACGGTTGAGTGGCCCTTCTGAATGCTTTCTGCCTTGTGGGTGCCGTCACAGAAAGGCGGGTGCTTCGTCTGTTTGCAGTTGCAGAACCAGTACTCCTTCGTTTCAGTGCAGTCCCATCGAACCGGTCGGAGAGTGATCCTCAGATGTTTGTTCTTGTGAGTCCCATCGCAGAATGGCTGTAGGATATAAAGGTGAACAATGAATGAAATGGAAGTAATTTTCANCTCTGGAACGACGATCGGAGAGTGAACATCGCGAACGGTTGAGTGGCCCTTCTGAATGCTTTCCGCCTTGTGAGTGCCGTCACAGAAAGGCGGGTGCTTCGTCTGTTTGCAGTTGCAGAACCAGTACTCCTTCGTTTCAGTGCAGTCCCATCGAACCGGTCGGAGAGTGATCCTCAGATGTTTGTTCTTGTGAGTCCCATCGCAGAATGGCTGTAGGATATAAAGGTGAACAATGAATGAAATGGAAGTAATTTTCAATCACCAAGACTCGTACCTGTTTGTGACTTCGCCCACAGGAGCACCANGGATATAAAGGTGAACAATGAATGAAATGGAAGTAATTTTCAATCACCAAGACTCGTACCTGTTTGTGACTTCGCCCACAGGAGCACCAAACGTAGGCTTTGCCTTCAATGCATTCGTACTTGAATGGCTTCTTATCGTAGACTACACCTTTGGCCGGTTGAACGTACTCCGGGTAGATTTCCTTCTCAGGCAAATCGGTGATTTCTTTTTTCGTTTTTCGAGTGTTTTCATCCGAATCGTCCAAGATCTTCCGCGTGCTCTGACTCAGAGC